TAACTTTCTATAGCATCTTTTATGCATTGATTTCAAAGTAGATCTAAGATGTTGTTGAGGGGCCTGTCACTCCCTGCCGCCCCCTTGGCTTTGCCACAAAGTTAGTGCCCCTCTATCAGGGTAAATATGGCTTCTGAGGCCTAGCCGCCTGGAGAAGCCTTTCCTGGATCAGGGGTTGATTGCCCAGGGTTGGGAAAAGGGTGGTAGGGGGACCGGGCCCTTCCTCTCCACCGGGTCCTAGCCCAGGGCCCTGTAGGGGGGACCGGGCCCTTCCTCTCCACCGGGTCCTAGCCCAGGGCCCTGTAGGGGGGACCGGGCCCTTCCTCTCCACCGGGTCCTAGCCCAGGGCCCTGTAGGGGGGACCGGGCCCCAATACATGCCAAGCCACACTATCGGTCCTCTGCCTGGGCTGTTTCCTACCACACCCTGGTACCCCTGTAGTCTCTGGTCTCCTGAGCTGGTCCTTACTGGGGCTGGCCTTGGGGCTGCGGGCGCTCCTGCCTCCCTGGGGTTGGTGGCTGCTGGCACTGCTCCGGGGCAGCCACGGGCAGCGATTCAGGTCTCAGCTGCTGCAGAAACATCGGTGCGGCCTGGACTCTTCCTTTCCCCCTGCGGCCTCCCTTGCTGCAGGGCTCTTTGCTTTTATACCCTGGTTCTGCTGGGAGCATGCCCAACAGGGCAGGAGGGACTGGGCCTTCTCAGTCAGGTGGTCCTAGGCTATTCCATGCCCTTCTGTGTGGGGCCTGTCTGTGTCATTTGTGCTTGTGTATATAAACTTGGGTGGTACTTAATTTTGTATCCGGATCTCATCCTGAAGTATTGAAACCTGAGACTGGACTAGTAGTTTTACTCAGATTACTGTTTCTTTAGGACTTTCTTAAACTGTTGAATATTCTATTCTCTCTTCTGTTTTAGATTTGTTCAGTCAGGTAGCCTTATTAAGCATGTAAATTCCGGTTTGATTGGTTTTCCAGTTAATTGATTAAAGGGGTATCAAGGCTGTTCCCCGCTCTGGCACTCAGAATGCAGATAGTGGCAGCGCGCAAGAGTTTCAAAACCTTGCCTCTACAGGTGTTGCATAAATTGCTGGTTTCGTCCCCTTGGAGGCTAGTCTGATTTACCCCAAGAAGAGAGTCACACTTTCAGGCTGGGTCCAACTCAAGTTTATTGGTTGCAACCAAGGTACGGCTAAGGGACTCAATGTTCAAAGCAGAGCCGACGACCAACATCTCATAGGCAGGGGTTCTTATAGGGTTTCAAGTTTATTGGTTGCAACCAAGGTACGGCTAAGGGACTCAATGTTCAAAGCAGAGCCGACGACCAACATCTCATAGGCAGGGGTTCTTATAGGGTTAACATCCTTCCTGGTTTAGGTGCCTTAACATGATAGGTTACTTCATCTTTGACATTTAGCATTCCTATAGGTCAGGTTAATTTTCCAAATGAGGTTAAATACAGTGCCTACTTGCTGAACAATGGGCAAGCCATACTTCCCTTTTTCCTTTCCTGCTTGAGCCGGTCACAAGTTTAAAGGATGTGGAATCTATCCATATCTCTACTTAACAGAAGACTGGTTTCACTTCCCCTCGTCTCCTTATTATAAGTTATTACCTGTGACAGGCCTTGACCTTTGTCATGTCTTACTCCTATACAAATAGCAAATATATCTAAGCATTAGCAATGTATGTATATTGTACGTGCCCCTCATAGGGGAATCAATGGCTCCGGGGGATTTGACTTCCCTTTTACACATCACAGGCACTGGTTACAAAAACTTAGCCCCACAATCCTAATACACAGATTTTTGGGAATTTGCTGCCACCATCAAATGCTGCTTGATCCCTAAAAAAAAAAAGGGGTGAACACTTGAAACCACCCCCAGGAGTACCCCAAGCTCTTTTGCCCCAAAAGTGCTTGAAAAAGGAGGAAAAACAAGCTGCAGTCTCTCGTAGCTGACCCCTCAGTCAGAGGCATGCAGATACAGACAGACCTTCCAGGACACACGAATCAAATCATCACCTTAAAAAGCGATTTTTATTACAAAACAAAAGATAAACTTGATAAAGCATACTTGGTTGCTAGATGTTATAGAGCAACTGAGGAAACCGAATTAAAACAGAGGGAAAAAAACCTCTGGCACAATGCTTAGATGGTAATGTGGGAGGGGAGGCATAGATTCACACAGAGCAGTTCAAATCAAACCACAAAATAAAGAAAAACTGTCCTGAACATGACTGGACTCACATTTCCCTCATACTCACGTCTAATTTTCTTTGTTCAGTCCACTCCCATGCCCTGAATTCTGTGGAGGGGAGGGCATAGTAACCCTGCCTGGGTTTAAATCACTGTCTCTGAACTCAATTTAGAGTTCTCCCATACAAAGAAAGTAGGCAGGGAATCTATAATCATTTCAAATTTCAACTCTCTATCTCAATTGGATCTCCCGGTCCCCTGGCGGACACCTCTGCTACCTGAATTAACCTATTAGTCACTGGGTGCTGGTCAGCACTTCTGCTGTTTATGACAAAGGGTCTCCTGCTGGGCTGGAGAACTCTTCCCTCCTCACCCCACCCCCAGGGGCTGATCCAGTCTGGCTTCAGCAGACAACTGCAGGCAGGGGCTGCTCCAACATGGCCAGAACAGTCCCTGCCAGCCTAACTGGAGCAGCCCACTGTTGGTTTGGAGCAGCAATAAAAATGTGTTGAGTCTTGTATTCTGTGGCCACAGTAACTATCTGAAAATAGTGATGTGACTTCTTGTTTCTCTTTCTTTTTTTTTTTTTTTTCAGGCTTGTGCATCTAAAACTTGTTCTCACAATTATTTTTACTTACAGCTCAATTATGAACAAAACAGTAGTTGTAGAAATTCTAGACATAAGTCTCATGTAAAGCTCATACAGACTCACATCTCACCAACGCTCAGGAGCAATTATTGTTGCACTTTTCATGTAAGAGAACAGAGTTTGCAATTGCATGTATTCAGGATCTCACTAAGCCTAAAGGCTCTTTCTGCTAACTATACAGCATATGTAATTTTTAAATATAGTTCAACACATTTTAGATAGAAACTTCAGTTTATTGCTGTAACAACCACCACTTTAGGAGACATTTTAGTTCTCAGACTTGCAAACATCATGTTGTAGGAAGGGGGATAGTCCGCACGGTACAAGGGAGGAAACATAAGAGCTAAAATATTCAGAGCTGGAAAACATGGCATTGGCATAGAGATGTAATAGTATGCCCGTCGATTAACTGGTAAGCAAAAGCTTATCAGTTAATGCTGCAGACTACATGTATCTTCCCCTTCCCTCACCAGTAAATTTTTTAGCAGGCTGGCCAGCAGCCCGGCTCAGTCCTGGCTCATGCTGGGTCTGGGACTTACCCCCTCTATGGCTCCACATTTAAAGCGTATTAGAAGCCAGGTGGGCAGGCAGTCTGGTTCAGTTCTGGCTTGTGCCTGGTCCGGGATCTCAGACCCCTGCCTCTGGACAGGGGCTGCTGCCACCCTACGCTGCTGCCTCTGTATCAGAGGCAAGGAACAGTGTGACATGCAGCTGGATCCCTGGGGGGAGCTGGTTTTTAAACTGACTCCCCTCGCAGACCAGCTCCCATCTGGCACCCCACACTACTACCTCAGATACAGAGGCAGCAGCACAATGGCAGGAGGCTCTTTGGGAGTGGGGCCGGAGCGCATTGACTACTGGCCTTAGCCCCGAGGACTATAGAATAGCTGAGTAATTGATTAGGGATCATGATGGTTGAGTATTCCATTAATCGATATTTAACATCCCTACATAGGGAAATCAATTTTTTGAAACAATGTTTGACAGAACTTCTCTCAAAAGAATATGGAAATATCTACTTCAAATTGGAGTTTGACATTTTAGCCTCAGACTGCGTATGATGGTGACAATTAAACATATAAAGGCAAACAATCATTTTAATATTGCTTAATCCTTTGAGTATTGCATACCATGTAAATTGGAAATAACATGCCTGACTATTGTAGTTCTCTCCTAGGAAGATTAATTCTACCTTGATTAAAGATAAACAAGTCTACTTTGCCATTATCTAATCTATTCAATAACGTTATATTGTGTCATACGGGTTAATCGGTGAGCAATCATTGCTTAGTCTTCTCGGCTATGGATAAAATAACCCACATAATTATTCATTCAGCTGAATTCCTAGACTAGTGCAAATGATACATCTATGGCCTCAAAACATGGGATTTTAATCCTTGGCATTATCAGAAGCCTTAATCACATGTTCATTTATTATTTCTGAACAAGGAGACTGCACTGCGTGCACACAAAGCTGAGTAGTACAGAATGTAATCTAGGGATTAGTGAAAGGCAAATCCTCCTATCTGTTCGACCTTGAAAATCTGATTGGATTTACTCTTTGGTCTGGCATAGTTTTCCCCAATTAAGTAAAGCTTGATATACGTGAGTGATATTTGTTCAAATGAGTCTTGTATATCTTATACATATATACTCTGATGCTAAAACTTCTGAGTGTTTGATGTTCATGTTTCCCTGAAAGGGAGTTGGGAATGGGAAGAAATGACCAGAAAGAGAAGAAAAGATAGAGGTAAAAAAAACTTGACTGATGGGCATAATTTCTGTTTCTGTAGTGATCCAACAGGACATTGATTCTGAATGAGCATTAAAAAAAATCAATTTTATGATAGCATGAACTAGCACAATTTTTGGAACAGCCGTTTTAATCTTTTAAAACAAGCAATAGGAGAAGTCTTCTATAGTCTGTTTTTATGATTAAACTAATAGCTATTGGGGGAAGGCTTACTGTTACTGGAAGAACGCAGTGGAATCCAGCTATGTAATTGTAAATTACAGCCTAGGAGATAATTCAATCTATTTTACAAGTTACACACTGGTTTTAAAAATTATGCTGATATAAACGTTATTCATCTATTTGGAAATATCATACCAAGTTTAAAATAAATCAGTAACAGCTCTTTGTACTTTTTTTTTGTAGAAATTGAGAAATTTCAAAAAGGGGAAGGAAAGGAAGAAGAAAAGTATATTGATGTAGTGATAAACAAAAATATGAAGCTGGGGCAGAAAGTATTAATTCCAGTAAAACAATTTCCTAAGGTAAGTTAATTTTTCAGTAATTTTAAATCTTCCAATGTTGTTCTGGAAGAGATTTGGAGAAGTCATGTTGTCAAGTTTTGTGCTCTGAGGCAGGACCAACTGTAGCTTGACTATTCCAGAGAGGTGTTCAATGACAAGGAAGCCTATTCCGGTGCTTAGCTATTTGTATTTCTAGATAATTTTTTCCTAATGTCCCTTACTGGACACTAAACTAGTTGCTGATTGTTGTTCCATTCATGGACATGGAGGAAAAACTGATTACAGGCAGTCCCCAGGTTAGGTCAATCTGACTTAAGTCGGACCCCTAATTACGAACGGGGCGGAGAGGGGGGCGCAGCTAGTGCGGGGTGCCTCCCCCACTGTCGCCGCCTCCGGCGGCGCGGGGGGTGCTTCCCCCCAGCAGACCAGGGAGACGTGGAGCGGCTTTTCTCGCCGTGGAGGACGTGGATGGCAGAACCGTGGCGCGTCTCCCCCCTCCCCCCCCAGCAGATGCTTGAGGGTAGAGCAGCTGGGGGGGTGCCGGGGTGGGCCCACAGGTAGAGCAGCTGGGGGGCTGCCGGGTTGGACCCACAGCGCCGAGGTGCGGCGCTACTGGACCAACCCAGCAGCACTCCAGCTGCTCTGCCCCAGGCATGTCCGATTCAGCTGCTGCTGGTCAGTTTCAACAGCAGCTGAATCTGGATGCCAGTTCCGACTTACATACAAATTCAACTTAAGAACAAACCTACAATCCCTATCTTGTACGTAACCCAGGGACTGCTTGTATTGTCTTCTTTCTAACAGGTTTTCAGGTATGTTAAGGCCTATCTGGTTCCTCATCAGTTGTCTTTTTTTCAAGACTAGATTTGCCCACTTTTTTAATTTTATTTCCTCACAGATCAGTTTTTCTAAACCATTTATTATTTGTCTGGACTTTCTTCAGTTGTGTACATCTTTTTTAAGGTGTGGCACTCAGATACAGTTCCACAGATAGTAATACAGAGTAGAACAGGACAGTTACCCCCTGGAGTGATATTAGCCTCTTTACAACTGCACCACTTCATTGGATCACATTTAATTTGATCCCCTGTAGCTCCTGATCCTTTTCGACTGACTATCCAAGTATTGCTCATCTTGTATTCATATATTTGATTTTTTTTTCCTTCTGACCTGTAGTACTACGCTCTATAGACAGTATAGATTTTGATTGATAGCATAGTACATTGATTTTTACCTGAAAAAGTGACAGTTAAGATGTCTAGATGTAGTTAAAATTACTAAAAATCCTAGGGACTCTCTGTTGATAATATAAGGGTACTTTTATACAGAGTTAATGTCAAACTTCTCTGAATCTACAGTGCTCTAGCATGCTGTGTAGTAATACATGGGCCCTGCTACCACATATTAAAAAAAGTATGGTGCACTTTAACCTATTGCTGTTTCAGCTTTCTGTACTCTAAGACTGTTATAGAAAAGTCCTCAGTAATTTTGTCCATACTGCATGAAGTCACCCTTCTGCTTATTATACTACATTTTTAGCCACTTGCTGTTTGTTGATATTTGTATGAAATAGAAGGTTGTCAATGACTTTTATTTAATATGGATTCTGATCTTTGAGTTTTTATTATGAGTTTGGATACGATACAGAGTGCCATTTTGTTACCAGATCTAACTTTGAGTAGCTTACTCAGAAAACTGTTGCTTGGAGATGCAGTGATTAATGGTTTATAAAAATTAGTGCTAAAATATGGATGTATCTGCTCAGAAAAACAGAGCATGAAATCTTCAAGTCAGCCCTGTATAAAAGGTAATATAGTCATGCCAACAGTTGTAACACAGCTTTCACATGGCTGTCAGTAAATAGACTGAGCTAGAGAACACTTAGTATCTGCCCATCTGGAACTGTAAAGGAAACATGGGGTATTGATGCGGACTCTGCACTTTCAATGTGTCTCTTAGGGTCTATTTCTTTAGAAAGGATTTTTGCCTAACAAATGATTTTGTTATTTAAACTATATATTTCTACTTCCTAACTATCCTTTTACATGCTTTCATCAGCATAAGTGGTGACTCTGTGGGTGCACTGGGGTTGGAGCACCCATAGACTAAGCAGGTACTATGCACCCATGGACAGCCAAGCTCTTAGCGCAGCTGTGGCCAACCTGCAGCTCTTGGCCCCCCCCAAAAGTGCGGCTTGTGAAGCTGCTCCTGTGCCTCTCCCGGGCTCCTCTCCCCCTGGCTTCCCTGTGCTTTCTGGGTCAGAGCTGTGTGGTTTTAAAAATGGCGCCCAATATGGTGGCCATCTTAAAGGGGCAGCCTTCTTTTTTTAAGAAATTTTTTTTTTGCTTGACTGTTCTGAATGGGCTTTTTTTCTTGGCAATTCTGGTGCGGCTCTTCGCATATTTTCCACTGCTGTTTTGGCTCTCTTTATAAAATGGGTTGTCTGCCCCATCTTAGTGTTGCCTGGGGGAAGAGGCAGGGCAGGAAGAGGTGTAGCGGGGGTAGGAACTTGCGGAAAGAGGCTTGGGGAGAAGGGTGGAGTAGGAGCGGGGCCTGGGGCAATGAGGGGGCTTGAGGGGAAGTTGACACCCATGTTCATCAGTATAATATTAGTGTTCTGTCCACACTTCATTTACTAATCCTCCTTCTGCCTTTATTAACACTTTCCCTGGATTCTTTTTAAATTATATAGTCTGTTCTAGGGAAAGGAGGAGCTGCATGGGAGCCAAAAGTATCTATCTCCCAAACACTATCTTAATGTTTCTCAGGACATTACAGGCAGTCCCCGGGTTACATCAATCCGACTTACGTCGGATCCCTAGTTACAAACGGGGAGGGGGGGCGCAGCTAGTGCAGGATGCCTCCCCCATTGTCGCCGCGGCGTGGGGGGGGGCCCCCCCTCCGCAGACAAGGGAGAGGCGGAGCTAGCG